AATCCTTCAGATCCAATTCGGACTATTTGGATTGCTTACATTTGTTAAACAGCAATAGCATGTCTCCTGATAACTGACAATAGAACTACATTAATACATAATTTATACTTGCTGGGAGAAAAAATGTATTTATTTATATATTATATTGTTATATGGTACAAGAAGATGGATTAGTTTAAGATTTTATTGATTTTCTTTTTTCGTTTCTCCTTTTAGGATCATTGTCAGCTTCAATCGTGCTGCATTTAAACCACGATTTCTCTTAATCATGTCGGCTGGTACTAAGCAATTTTATTTTTTTATGTTTTTAGATGTTGAGTTTTCTAATTTTTTTTTTTTTTACAGAAAGCTGACCATATAGGTTATTTGCATTATTTTTTGCTTCAATAAATAATTTATTATGTTTACATTCTTTTCATTTAGTCTGCTGATTTTTCCTTGTAGGGTACAAGTTCCGTATGATTTTCGGATTTTTCCATGCCGAGGAAGTCTGCAACCTTAGGAACTTCATTATCTCCTTGTGGATCAATCAAATTCCAAGCTGCAAAATTGATCAAGAAACGGTTAATTAGTGCATGTTGAAGATATACATATGTTGTGAAATCGAGAAATGTATGATCATAAAAAGGACTTAACCTTTGATTATGAAACGGAGTGTTAATGTTATCATTCGCTAACCCTGAAGAAAACTGATGAGACTGAGCTGTTTGCAGGTGGGGTGTTAAAGAAGAGAGAGAGAGACTTGAAAATCAAAATCTTTGTATTAATTTTAATTAGGTTTTATGTTATTTCGTCTGAATATTTTTTTTTTTTTGTAATTGTTCATTTTTCTGTCTATAGATGAAAATCTAGCTGGGTTTGTTTCCTCGATCTAAGGTATGGTGTTCTTGATTCTGTACCTATTGGAGGAAATGATATTATTACTGCGGTTTTGAAGGCTCATTTGTGTTGGAGAAGATAATTTTGAGGACTAAAATGCACTGGACAAGAAGAGAAGGGCTAAAGAAGCAATAAGTAAAAACGGGAAGAGAAAAACGTGATACCAAATAACGTTTTTCTCTTACCTGAAATTGAAGAAAGAAGAACCCAGCAGTACAACTCCTCGAACGGATTCTTCACTCAGCCTCACACCAATCCTTGATTTCAGGGATTCCCTAAACGGCGTGTTTATAATTCTTGTTGTGTAATCTGGTATTGTGTATGTATTGTAAGTCTACACTCTTGGGTATATATTCTGGTATCCTTCACCTCTGTAAATATAATTTTTCATTCATTTTAATTGATTGAGTTGAGCTTCATCTTCTTCAATACTCCATTTTCTGTATTTTATCTATTTGCACTGTGATGGTTGCGCTTCCAAATTCCTAAAATGCATTCGCTCTTTGACGGTACAAATACAACATTTTCTTCTCAAATCTCACTTTTTGAAATAAAATTTTCAGAATAATTTCTGTGTTTTCATCCTTGTTTTCTCTATTTTATAATGGTATTCTTTTAGATTCTGGGTTTTATTTGTACCTAAATTTGTATGAAATGTTTTTTTCTTTTATTTACTGGGTTTACAATGTGTTCTTCTCAATTTCGTTATGTTTTTATTTGACTTTGTACTTTCCAATGCACTCCTGAAATCCTGAAGGTTTGTTCTTCCCGCACAGAAATTTGAGAATTTCTCTATGTAAAAGTTAATTTTGCTTCTACTACTTTTGCATGTTTAATATTTAAATACACTTTTGCTCCATAATTCTTTAGTCTTTTTCTTCAATTTGAGACATTCTCGTTAATATTGGATTGTAAAACCTATCTAACGGAACGATTTACAAGAATTAGATGGGCCGGAAACTTTCTCAATCGTTTATGGTAAAAGGCAATGTTTTAACTCAAGTTTGATAAGTTAAAAGTTAATAATGTTGATTTTTTAAGACTTAACCTCAAGTCTTAATAACTTTAATCTTGCCTTAGTAAATTTCAGAATAAGCCAAAAGAAGTTTTGGAAGAAAAATCCGGACAGATCAAAACTTTTCTTCTCTTATTGAAAATCATGCTTACGTGTGAAATTCAAGGCAAAGATTACATGAATTGAAGTTAAAATTCTTATCCCTGTTTGGTGGAAGATTTTAATTTCAGTTAAAATAAATAATTAATTTTAATCATAATATTTATGAGATCCACAATTTTTCAGCCACACATTTCATCAACTTCTATTAAAATCTACTAACAATTAAATTTTAATAAAAAATTAGAGAATACAATACAACAATAAAATTAAAGTACAACATAAAGAAAGAAAAACGTGTGCCAAATATAAAAGCTAAAAAGCTATAGTCCTGTAAATACTTTCTTTCTTTCTTTTTAATTGCAAAATCGCAATTACCTTGGAAGTATATTTCTGGGCTCCATAAATAGGTCTGCCAACCACCGTCTCCATAGATTGATCAAGAACCTATTAATACGTCTTCTAAACATGTCTTCC